GCCAACTGCTTCAGTGTCATCATTGTCAAATATGGCACGGCCTTGGTGCCATATGTGACTGTAGTGAGTTGGTATTCCTGCAATGGTTCTTCTGGGTCATCTCGCCATATTATTTTTTGGTATTGTTGGTGTTCTTCTTTCAGCCAAATTTGGCGAAACATTTTTTCTATATCAGCTGTGTATGCAAACTGATATTGACGCCACTCCAAAATTAATTTTTGGAGATCTTGTTGTAGATTTGGGCCCTTGTGCATAAGATCATTAAGGCTCACTGTCGAAGATCATGCCGAGGCATTGAATACAACCCTGATTTTTGTAGTTGTTGACTCCGGGCGCTCGACACAATGGTGCGGCATATAAAAGTCCGGTTTCTTGTTACCGATAGCCGGTTTCATATGACCCAATGCCAAGTATTCTTGAATAAATAATTTATAATGTTCTGCGGTATTATTTTGTTTTGTGAATCGTCGTTCCAATTGTTTGAATTGCGCAATTGCTTTTTGTTTCGATGTGCCCAAGTCTTGTTCAATATTTGACTTAAGGGGAAGTTTCACTTGGTATCTTCCATCCTCGCGTCTTGTGGTTGTTGATTTATACAAATCGATGCATGCTTGATCTTCTGACGTGAGAGTAGACTCTTGAGTAATGTCCTCGATCTCCCAAAACTGTTGGATGTTTTGTATATTATTCAGCAAAACATTGCACTGTAAAGTAACTTGATTAGCGCTTCCACTTAATATTCAACCAAATCGCGTTTGTTGGGCGATTGGCGAGTTATTGTTTTCTCTGCAAATTCCGTCTAAGATGATGTTTGAGTATACTTCTGCTCCCAGAAGTATATCTACCCGCCGACTTTTGTAGAATTCTGGATCTGCTAACTGTATATTTTCTAGGAATGACCATGACGGCTTGTCCAAGGTGTAGTTTGGTAAATTATTGATCAGAGTTTTCATTATGAGAGCTTCGGTATTAAGTGTGAAGTCGCTATTATTGGACTTGATTGTTAACTTGATCACGCCTTTACAATTGTTTTCCTTTATGCCGATCCCCGTTATGACCCCTTTACACTGACTTCTAGGTAGTGATAGAAGTTGAGCTGCTTTCTCCGTGATAATTGAGGCCTGGGATCCTTGGTCCAGGAGTGCTCGGAGCTTGTAGTAAGAGCCATTGTTAGCTTGAACTTGAACAATAGCTGTAGCGAGCAGTATCTCTGGCACGTCGCGCTGCTGTGACACGTGCACACTGTTCTGGTTCTGCTGGACAGCATCTGCGCTGCTTGATGAGTTTCCCTGGTTAACCGTTCCTGATGAGCTAGGTTGGTTCATGGTTTTAGATGTTACGAATGCTTCGTGCAATATTGTGTTGTGCTTACCTTGGCATTCGCGGCAGCGATTCTTAGAAATACACTTTCCTTGGTGATGGTTTAGGCAGTTTGAGCACAGCCGTAATCTTGATATGGTACTGCGTCTCTGCTGCGGCGTCATTGTTATAAGTTTTTGGCAAAAATATATTCCATGGCCATTGTTACAGAGCGGGCACGTGATTGTAAACTGATTACTTGTTTTTGCATTTGTTGGTTCTGTAACATTGTAGTTGGAAAATACTTGCTATCTTGATTTATTACGCTTCACCGAGACCTGATTTGATGATGGTTTTTGCGTGGTTGGTTCTTGTTTTCTACGGGATGTTTCCAACGTAGTGAATTTTCCTTCCAGGAATGCCAAAAAATCTTTGAGCGTCGGTAACTCACGTGGTTGTTCTAGGGATTCAATGTAATCATTGAATGTTTCGTTGTCCAATTTTTGTGACAGTAAGTGCACCAGCAATGGATCCAACGTACTGATATCAACACCTAAGTTTTTCACGGCGTTGAGTGTCTCCAGAGTGGTGTCATGAAGTCGCTTGATCTGGTTGATAGCTTGATGTTGTTGTATGACAGGAATATTCAATAAGCTGTTGATGTGCGAAGTAAAAATGAGTTTCTTGTTGTTGTATCTGTGGTTAAGAATTTCCCAGCAGATATTATAGTTTTCAGTGCTGATCGGAAGATGCTGCAAAAGCCTTGCTTTAAGAAATTGCATTTTCTGTGCGTTTGATAATGATGGGTTATTATGGATAGTTTCAGTGAACAGGTCCTTGAATGATGTCCACTGATGATAATTTCCTACAAAAACAGGTATGTCCAGCTGGGGGGTTGATTTTTCCCGATGGGACACTGACCACAGCTTGCTGTTGATGGATCGTTTGGTGGAATTATATAGTTGTTCATAATATGAAAAAGTGCTCTCATATTCTAGGTTGGCTCCTTAAACTTCACTGTCGATGTCCCAGTGCAGACTGTCGATAGCTGACCATCGCGACTGCAAAGAGCGGAGGAGATCTTCCAGCTCCCATTTCTCCGTCACATCGTCAAGATTTATGTTAGAAACTGTCCTTTTAAATGCTCTGAAGTGCAGCTCTTGAATAATTCATCTCTCTTGCTGTTGGTTCCCTGGAAATCCGTTCTAAATGAATGTTGAGTTCCCGAAGTTGAGGGTGTACCCATTGGAGTTGCGGGTCTTATCAAGGGCGTTGAAGGTTTTGGTTGATGTTCCGACTTCGGTAAGTACGCTTTTATTGTAGCTGTTATATTCTCATAAATGCCTTGGTTTTTTCATACGTATTGTTAGTAAAATAAGCATGGGACTTGTCTGGAAAAGCGCACAGTTCAACATGATTATTCAGGAATTCCTGCCAATACCCTTCTAAATTATTCAATCTTCGATTAATATAGTCGGGCGTCTTTCGCTCTTGACTATCTTTCTTGAAATTTACAAATATTTGATTAATGCCATCGATAATTTGTTGTTAATTTGCTAGGAGATTTTCCATGCTTGACATTACTTGGTGAAGGAATTGATACGTTAAAACCTTGGTAAAAAATCACTTACTTGTTTTGCTTGTTTTTGAAAATATTTAATACGCTAAACTACTTACACTTACTACTAAACTTAAAACTTGATACGCTTGCTTGATATGCTTGTGCTTTGCTTATGAAATCCTTCTGCTTGATGTGATTGATGAATGCTTATGATTGGTGTGCTTGGAGAGTGCTTGCTTGGTGTGCTTGGTGAATGCTTATGCTTGGTGTGCTTGGAGAGTGCTTGCTTGGTGTGCTTGGTGAATGCTATGCTTGGTTTGTTTGGTGAATGCTTGCTTGGTTTGCTTGATGAATGCTTCAAATTTGCTATGCTTGTGTTATTCTTGACATTCTCGGTTTTGTCCTTGGTGTTATTACTTGTTCTCAGTATATTTGCAGACTCAGTACACGTAGAGCGCCGTCTCAATTCGGCTGGTGAGACCCGCTGGTGGGAGGCCAACCGAACCGATCGCACTGCACTTGAGATCCATAAAACACTGATCAGTTTCCTCGAAGGACCATAAAGATGTTTGGTCTTGGTATACCACACACCTTTTACTTGATCTGACGATGAATGATTTAAATACGATCTTGAGAAAAACAATGATTTATTGCGATTTCACAATACACGAAACTTGATAAAAATATAAGATTGAGTCACGCGACCGTATTGGTAGGCAAACACAAACACACTACAAAATAAAATATTAATGAATGAGGTCAGTCGCGCATAGTGTCAAATTACTAAAATGCTGACGCGGGAGAATGCACGGTGTTGCACCGTACAGTTACCTTGTTACAAAAACGAATATTGTGAGGTAATTGTACATCATACAGTCATACGGTGTCAGCACACCAATTTAGCAGCTGGGTAGATTTCTGTTGGCCGCTAAAGGTAGTGCAGATCTGTGACTGATTACGATGATAATGGATGATAAGACGTAGTGTAACGCCTCTCAAATGCAATCAAAAGTACGTACGGTAAATATTTTTCGAAAATGACATGCCTACAGACATATTTTGCATTTCTTTTTTCTATTCATTTTATAACCTCAAAACGAGATGCATTTTGTATTATTAATGTGTTCCTTTAAGTGTCCGTTTCTAAAAGCTAAATGTATAGAGTTATTGGCTATTTTTAGAGTATATCTAGCTAGTTTTCATTACCAACGGTTAATAGGCGAACATACTGTGAAGCCAGAACATTCTCCTTTCCCCTCTAGTACAAAAAATATCGTTAGATTATTTTATTTATTACATTCTTTTATTTTATTATATAACTACTTTTCCTTATTCAGTGTGTGTATATAATGTAATGTGGGAATATTATTTTTATTATTTTATTACTAAGCAAAGAAAATGTACTCAGTATAACATACACGGAGTAAAGAGAATTAGTTACATAAATTAATTAATAAAATAATAACAATGAACGTTTAAGAAGGCATCGTATCTATGTCTAGTTATATACCGGGTCCGGCAATTGAACTGTCCGTCTTGATCTAACTGTTTTAAAATTCGAACCAATGAATCGAACGCCGCCAAAATTTAAAATGGTGTTCTTTGATATATTTTCTTTCATGGCTTGATGTGATTTTGTTGTGAGCAGGTGGTAGTACTCGTAGGATATTATCACAAACATGCAGACTCCAGACAGACATATCAGACGGACCCAACATTACATCAGATTTGATAGACCAAAATCCCAGAACACCGATTCCTACCAAGATGATACTGAGGCTATTGAAATTAAAAAACATCCTAATTCAATAGAGAAGGAGGCTGGGTACTACCACCGCTTGGGATCCTATAATCAATAAAATTAAAACTAAACCCAAGCATACCACTGCAAGACCTCAGGACATAGTCGTTCATTTTATAGATCGGACCATAAACAATAATTAAAAAAGATGAACGTACTCCGGGTTTGACAATGACATCGGGACGTCAGTCATCTCAGTCCCCCGTGACCATGGATCTGAATGAGCGCCCGAAGTACGTCGGGAATTAAAAATAAAAGAAATAAAAAGTAAAAATAAACGGGATAAAATCCGTAAAAGAAATCATGATAGTGTTCGCAAATATAAAAATCATTTCTCAGGAACTCACAGCTTTGCAACGTAGTAAACGGTTAGAGCGATCAAAAGAGCTAATTCGCTTGCTCGACTCTGGCGAGCTTCCCAATTTGGTGTTTTCGAATGAGAAAACTTTCTGCGTTGAGCAGTTTCTTAACAAACAAAATGACCGTGTATGGTTGAAGGGACGTGTCAGCGACCATGCGGACGAACTGCTAATCCCTCGACGTCGAGGAGCCGATCAAATCATGGGCTGGGCGGCGGCGGCCGAAAAAGGCCGTTCACTGCTCGTTTTTCTCCCAATGGGTCGCAACCAAGTCAAAATAAATCAGCAAATCCATCGAGACAAAGTATTAATACCGTGGGCACGTAACACGTTCGGTTCTGAGCGTTGGACTTTCCAGCAAGACTCGGCACTTCCAATTCATCGCACAGAGCAATTGGAACGCAAAATTGGTTGAAAGCGAACGTTCCAGTGCTGATCGACCGAGATATGTGGCCGTCGTCATCACCCTACTTGAATCCGCTAGACTTTTGTATTTGGGGTGTTTTACAGACCAAGGCTTGTGCTACAAAACACACGTCGGTGGAAGCGTTCAAAGCTAGTCTTACGCGAGAATGGAATTGTTTAACTGATGCCGTCGTTCGAGCAGCGTGCGCTTCGTACAGGAAGAGACTCAAGCTTGTAGTAAAGGCTAAAGGCGGTTTTATTCCATCGGACTAAGCCATAACATAACTTTGAACCATCTATTGTCACATGTAAAAAGCGTATAAATAAATATTGAAAATTAACAAAAATAATTTATTTTCCCATACGGACAGTTCAATCGCCGGACCCGGTATATACAACTGAAAGTAGTTCCATATCATTCATGCAGACGGCAGCACCGTCATTGTCGATTCCTATTTGAAGGCGTCGAAAGAGACCTCTATTCCCTATATAAAAAATACTCTGTGGCAAACACCTCTACCTGCATTAAGCTTAAATAATTAAATAATTAGCTTAATTATTTACTTTAAAAATGTAGACATACATTTTTAAAGTAAGTAATTAAGCTATTCAAATTTTTTTATTACCTTTTCCCTCATTATCATATTAAGTACCTAGTACTTAATGTTTTTAATAATGAAACATAGTATACATAAACTTTATCTTGTACGGCACTACCCGGACCATCAATGTTTTGTTGTCAATTACACTTTTTTAAGTTATAAGCCGAAAGATTTCCACTGCTGGGCACAGGCCTCCCCCAAGGGTCACCACAACGACCAGACCTGTGCGTCTCGCATACATCTGCTACCCGCGACCCTTACCGGGTTATTGGTCTTATCTTGTGGAAGGCCTTCCAAACTGTGATCAAAACTACACTATTAGATTTTAAAAAAATCAACAATTTCAGGGCACGTGTATGGGCTGAATACTGTTACCCTACTGGAGAGTGGTCAACTGAGAAATCACTAAAAGACTTGCACTCACAACACAACATGTTATGCAGTAAACCCTTTGATGACTCCTCATTCACTAACAGTGCGAGGATAAGATTATACAATATTGCCATCCCAATCGGGACACAGGATTTAATGGTAAAGATTCACCAGGAACAATGTGCAACTGCAAGTGAAAGTAAACAAGATACAAATATCTCAGTTGAAAAACCTCAAGTTAACATTAATTACTATATTGCTCAAAACTCCATCAATCATAAAGCTTGATATGTGGTTGAAATTTATAAGTACAGTCGAACAACTACAACTTGTCTAAATTCTATTTTAAATTTTATTTTGTTTTAGAGAAACCAAACAACCTGTACTAATATGTATAATAATATGTACACTATTGTATATAAAGTTTAAATAAATAAATAAATAGACCTCAATAATATTCATCAGGTTCAGGCATGATTTAGGTCAAGAGCAGACTTGTATCAGTAATAATAAAAACAGTTAACTCAACGTCAACTATAGTAATGTTAAAAACCAAAATAAATACACAATCCTCAATCTCATATAACGGTTTTCATAAAAATATACTTACTATTTTTTATTAGAAGTTCAAGCATGAAGCTTTCAACAAGTTGAACATAAAAATGAGAATAATATGGCATTTGAAACATCCTGATAATTTAAATGTAGAAAATGATCATCACCTTTGCTCACAAAAATCTCATTGTAGTTTTCAAGTGCTAGTGTTGGAACCTTAATTACCTGTTCAGGTGCCAACCATATGTGTACCAACTACTGATAGTTTGAAGGTTTGTAGTACTTATACTAATTTTCACTCACATGTATGTATGTACAACATTATAACTTGTGTAACTTTTGTTCACATTTTTGGTCTTATAGAATTTGATGATGATGTTTCCATGGGCAATAGAGAATATGCATGCATTTTTTTATTTGAAAAATTAATTAACTATTAGTTCTAGTAAACTATTATGAAATAATTTTTAAAATACCCTCATCAGCGACAATGTTATAAAGCTATAAAGATACCAATTAGAAAGAGAAGTCCGATAAAGACTATGACGGCAATGTCTGTGCCGACCATACATCTGCCATACAAAACAGCGTTTTTGCGAGAGGGATAGTTAAAATTATTTAAAATGGTTATATCTTGTTTATTTTTATATCAATTTTTATTTTATTGCCCTTATGTTTTTGTATATTTTTAGATAAACTATATGGCTTATGAATATTTTTTCATGCATATTCCCTATTTCGAGCACAGTGACCAATTTCTCATATAAATAAGAAACAAACTAATGCTTGCTAATTATGTAGATTAATATCACCATAATGATTCTTACTTAGGTAATGTTGAAACTGATCATCACCTTTGTTCACAAAAATCGTCTCATTGTAATTTTCAGGTGCTAGTATTGGAACTTTCATTATCTGTTCAGGTGCCAACCATAGCCAACCCAACTACATCTTTATCTGTTCAGGTGCCAACCACATGTAAACCAACTACTGATAGCTTGAAGATTTGTAGTACTTATACTAATTTTCACTCACATTTATGTATGTACAACATTATTATTGGTCTTATAGAATTTGTTGATCATGTTTTCATGAACAATTTTAATCACAGTGACCAATATCTCATAATTAAATACAACACGTACGAATTAACTTGAGACTCCGCTGGAATGCGACCCCCTTCCCGACTCCCCGCACCGCGTCCCGCGGTGGCCGTGCGCGCTCAGTACCGATAGCATTTTTGTTACGGATACGAGTCTCGACTCTAGTTCGATATTTTTGATAATTGTTTGTTGTTTGGTTTGGACTTTTGTTTGTTTTTGTTACACTTGAACGTTATTTTATCTGTTTGTTGTTAATTGCGCTGTTTTATTGTTAAGTTTGGACGTTGTGTTGTGCCGTTTTCTTGTGACGCTTAGGAGTTACTCCGCCTTTTTTTATTTTTAAAAAAAGATGGGAGGAAAGACAATACATAGCCAAGCACGGACACTTGCTCTAAAAGTTTTAAAATTTTTCGAAGATGAAAAATCAAATAAAAAGTTTCTTATTCCTGTGGACCAAGCTTTAAAGAGGGCTTGTGCAGCAACAGGCATATCAAAGGCAACACTACTAAGAATGAAAAACGAGGCGAAAAAAGTTCAGTCAATTTCTCAAGACCAAAATGATGATGTCACAGTAGTATCGGAACCATGTACTTCTCAAGCAAGACCAGAACTTAAACTATCAACTCCAGGAAAAAAAAGGAAACAGACCTCAAAAAAAATTGAACTCGACAATTTTGATCTGTGTGCTCTAAGAAACCTTGTCAACAGTTTCTTTACAGTACGGAAAGAAATTCCAACATTGAAAAAGATTTTAACGGCTGCAAAAGCAGATCTAAATTTTCCAGGTACGTACCCATATTTATTGACATTTTTTATATGTATTATATATCATACTTTAGGTCATATCATATACAAGGTGACATTTAATTCAAGCATAATCTTGTTAGGGGTGCTAGAACTGGTAATTTGCCACAATTTTATGTATGGATACCCATATGCAAAAGTGAACCATTTCTGAGATATTTAATTTTAAATCATTTTTTGAAAAAATACCACGCGATGACTAAAAATTAAAAATAAAATCTTTATTTTACAGGTGAAAAAACTACGTTACAACGAATACTCGTTGACTACTTGGGGTACAAATTTAAAAAATGTAAGAACGTAAGACAAGTCTTAATACAAAAGCCAGACGTTGCTGCCTGGAGAGCCCGTTATTTACGAAGGAAGAAAGAAAACAATGAACTTGGGGTGGACAAAAAACCCGTAACTTATTTAGACGAATTAGAGACTTAGATACCGTGCGCAAATGCTAGCACAATAACAATGACGCAAGCATTAGAAAAAATGATAATCCAGGACAACGGTGGATATTGGTGCACGCTGGCGGTGAAAACGGCTTTATCCCTGGTGCCGTTTTGCTTTACAAATGCAAAAGTAATGCCGGGGACTACCATCACGAAATGGATAGTAAAAACTTTAAAAAGTGGTTGACAGAAAAACTAATCCCAAACTTACCTCAAAACAGTCTCGTCGTTATAGACAATGCGGCCTACCACTCAACTCAGTCTGAAAAACCACCCGTGAGCTCGTCCCTGAAAGGTGAGATGCAGAGTTGGCTTCGGAAAAACAACATTCCTTTTGATGAAAAAATGACGAAACCGAAACTGTACCATATAATACTGATCAATAAACCACCGAAAAAATATATAGTGGACGAACTCATGAGGGAACATGGACACGAGGTATTACAGCTGCCACCCTACCATTGTGATTTGAACCCTATCGAATATATATGGAACTTAATAAAACAAAGGGTGGCAGCTAAAATTGTTAACCAGTTTGAAAGGGAAATAGAGGGTTTGACAAGAGACGCAATACAGTCTATAACGGCTTCCGATTGGAAGAAAGAAATTAACCATATCGAAATATTAGAAAATGAATATTGGGAGAGTGATAGAGTTGGAGAAATCCAACAGAGATAATTAATTATATCCCTCGGAGGGGAAGAATCCATCTCAGAAAGTGAGGACGATCTAATGGACGGAATAGAACCGATCGTATACAGTGACAATGAATAATAAATATCATAATAAATCCTTATTAATATTCCTTACTTCTATTCCTTGATTTTACATAGTTTGTGCTGTTCCGCTTATCCAAGATTGATTCACTTTCACCCTAAGGTTGCCTGGGAGAGATTGCTTTTTAGCAATAAGGTCGCCTGTTATGCTTTGTATTTTTATTGTGTACGAATCTGTAACACTTTTTATAGTGCAATAAAGCATATAATAAATAAATTAATAATATTATAAATGAGAAAGTGTGTTGTTTATTTCTTTGTCCTTCCTTGACGCGTTAACTAAAAATAATATTATATATATTATAAAAGATAAATATTTAAAATATATAAAAATGGCAACAGTATATCACTTATT